AGAAACGCATCACTCCATCCCTGGGACTTACTTTTCATTTCTTCGCTTATCTGATTTTGTATTGTATTTTTGTTAGGGGAGGAATGGTAGAAATGGAAATTACTGGCTAAATGAGACTGAGGGATTATTTGAGGATTTATTGCCATACATTCTCCTCTCCATTGCAAGGCCTAATAGAGACTTGGCTGCATTTTTATTGTGCATTAAGTAGCCTGTAGAGAACACCCGGCAGGCAGATCACAGCATTTGCATCCTAATTTATTCTCACAGACGCTGAGTGAGTCCTGTAGAAAGCCAGGACTGCCAACTCTCAGACATACAACACAGCTGCAGTAGCAAATAATATTAACGTGTGGCTGTTTAAAGTTTTCCTTAACCACACAGGTTCTGCTGGGGCCGGTGTTGGCTAGACCAAGTCACTTAAGGTCATTCCACCTCCCCTGCCAGCCAGTTGTTTTGGCGTGGGCCATGTGACCCGGCCATGAGATGTAAACGAAACTGCTGGAGGCTTCTGGAAATGTTTTTCCCTCTTAGAGAACGAAACACGACAGCGATTGCTCCTCCTTTGTGAGGCCTCTGTGTGTGGCAACAGGAAGCCATACCAGGTCCTTCTTGAGATCATGAGGGAAAGGTCAAGAGCATTTCTGAGAAGCTGGCCCCAGGTCCTGACATCACAGAGCCACCCAGTGAAGCAACCCTCCAGCTATCGCCTTCCGATGTCCTGTTGCGTGAGAAGGCAATTTCCTCGTTGTGGAAGCCGTTTCACCGGGTACTCCACAAACTGCACCCCAACGGCACCGCAGATCCTAGGTTCTGGTGAGAACCAGGCAAACACAACTGCAAACAACAATCAGCAAACACTGAAAAGTGATCATGTCCCCAGCTGGCAAGAACACCCTTGGGAACTCGCTGGGAACTATGAATTGGTACAGTTCTTTCTAAAGGCCAGTTGGCAGCAGCCACATAAATGTACATGCCACCAGTCGGTGTGGCTCAGTGGATTGAGTGCCGTCCCATGCACCAGGAGGTCACCGGTTTGATTCCTGGTCAGGGCACATGTGGGCTCAATCCCCAGTAGGGAGTGTGCAGGAGGAAGCCCATCAATGTTTCTCTCTCATCAATGTTTCTATCTCTCTCTCACTCTCTCTCCTACTCTCTCTGAAATAAAAAAGATATATATTTAAAAAGAAAATTGTTTAAAAATGTACATGCCCTATGATAAGCTCTAAGAAGCTATCCATGCACTTCTCTTTCCTCCTCTGCCCTGCTTTGCAGGGACGATAATCTCCAAAATCTGCCCTGCTCCTTAGCCCTAAAGTCTCCAGTGGGGCTCAGCACAGGGACCTGGATGGAGGAAACAGAGGGGGGTACCTACCCCAGCCTCCCCACCCACCTCCCCCGCAGGGGCCTGCTCAGGTTACGGTGCCTGAAAGGCAGCCAAGCCCTCTGCCAGGGTAACTCTCTCCAGGGTCCTGTCCATTAATTCCGCCCCGCCCCCACTAACAGTCCCCTGATAAGCTCCTCAGTTTACCCTCTGAGCATGCCTACTGCTCCACCTGTTCCCAGCCAGGACGGTGCCAGATGCATCCTCCTCAGAAATGCACCACCCAGACACAAATGCCTTCCCTTCCCCCACATGAACTAGACTTTGGGAGGCAGGAGTAGGTGTGCTTCTGTTCATTGTGGTAGACGCAGCACTTAGCGCAGCTGGTGTACATGAAGTAATTGCTAAATAAGTATTTGTGTTATAGCAGGATCTTGTATAGAATGGATGAGCCACTGTTTATGGAACTATCTCACAGATATTGGACAGGGGGGACACAGCCAGGAACATACAACCACACTCAGGAATGTGCCTGTAAGAACAAGGTAATCTTGTGCATGTCGGTAGAAAAGATATAGATCTAGTAAGTGGAAAAAGATATAGATCTAGTAAGTGAAAAAAAGTTAAAACCACGATCTCAACTGTGTTAGCCTCTTCATTTAAATAAAAGTGGACGCAGGCCCTGTGTTGGAAAAGGAGAAATCTGAAAGGGCAAGTAGCTAGAACTTGGTCAATTTGGGAGATGGAGCATTTGGGAGAATGAAAGGGTTTTTTTTGTTTAATAATGATTTTTTGTTGTAAGCACATATGACTAGACATCTTCTGAAATACAGAAATCATCAAATAAGTACAACTGGTTATGGAACTGGATGAAATGGGACATCACCTGATTCTAGCAGTGAAAAGCCTAAACAGACTCTCTGGTACAACAGCACAGAACGCCAAGAGCAGCCCCTTGGTTGCTTTCCTTTATTCTCACTTTGATTAAGGATGGCTCTGTGTATCCTCTGACATCTCACACAGGTCTGTGACCCCTGCCCCCAGCTTTAATGTCCTCTGAGAGTCTGCCCCAGCCACCATTTAAAATGAGAATCTCTATGTAAGTTATTTTGGCTGTCTGGGTGGCTCAGTTGGTTGAGCATCATTCTGTACACCAAAAAAGTTGCAAGTGTGATTCCCAGTCAGAGCACATACCTAGATTTCAGGTTCAATCCCCAGTTGGGAGGCAACCAATTGATGTTTCTGTTTCAATAATATATATATAGCCCTGACCGGTTTGGCTCAGTGGATAGAGCGTCGGCCTGCAGACTGAAGGGTCCCAGGTTCGATTCCGGCCAAGGGCATGTACCTTGGTTGCGGGCACATCCCCATTGGGGGGTGTGCAGGAGGCAGCTGATCGATGTTTCTAACTCTCTATCTCTCTCCCTTCCTCTCTGTAAAAAATCAATAAAATATATTTAAAAAAAAAAAAAAATAATATATATATATATATATATATTGAAACACATATATATATATATATATATATATATATATATCCACACCCCTGGGGTGAGGATTAAAATAATAACAAATAATAGAGAATGAAACATAAATTATTTCTTACATATCTCAAAGGCGAGAGTGCGATAGAGAGGACGATATAATTCCTTTTTCAAACCTTTC